AATAGACTAGTTTTTTCATAACCTTGATTTTTTTTAAAGTATAGGCCATAGTTTTATTATTCAAGCAAAAGAACATAAGTCCAATATAATCAAATCTTTATTAGCAAGTATAAGAACTTTTATACATGTGGAAAAAAATTTGTCAATTATTCTTATTTATATCACGTCCATTTTTGATGGTAGAAAGACTTCAAGTGGCATTTTAAACCAATATCAAGATTATTAAGATGGTTGTAAGAAGAAAAAGATAGATATGCTTGTAGAAAATTATTATTTTGATTGCTTAATTTATCATTAAAAAAGAGCTCAACTACCATTTGGACTAATCCATAGCTTATAACAAAAAGAGTTGTCCACACTTAAGATGTACATTGACAAAAATATGGCTAATAACTTCACATACCATTTAAAATCTCTAATAGTAGCTTTTATTCTGTTTCTAAAGAGAAATAAAGTATCATGACAAATATATGTATATTATCAATGATTTAATAAGATCACCATTAAAAATAGATAGCTTCTATCTTCAATATTGATATTTCTTAATCAATTGAATGAAGACAAGATCTATATCAAAATAGATCTACAAAGAGCATACAATTTAATATACATTAAAAAAAATATGAGTAGAAGATTATATTTTAAATTAAGTATGGAAATTTTAAATATAATGTCATATCTTTTGGACTTATAAATGCGTTAGCTGATTTTTAATATATTATGAATGATTATTTTTGAAAACTTTTAGATGCAATTATCATTTGTTATTAAGTCAACAATTTAATCTACTTTAAAAATACAAAAAAGTATAAACTTTAGGTTTGTCATATGTTTCAAAAATTTAGAGATGCAAGATTGTATACTAAGATGGAAAATTATATATTTTACTAAATTCAATTCGACTCCTTAAAATATATTACTTCAAATAATAATCTTATGATGGATCCTAAAAAGTTGAAATTATTAAATATTAAAAGATTCCAAATATAATAAAAGATATCTAATAGTTTTTTTTTAAATTAATTATTATTAGATCTTTATCAAAAAAAATTCTATTGCAACTCTACTTACATATTTGGCTTTTAAGTACAAACTTAAGTAAAATAAAGAAACTAAAGTAACATTTGAAGCTTTAAAATATATATATATATATATATATCTAGATATATTATTTTTTTTTAATCTTGTATTATGTTGACTTTTTTAAGACATTTTTCATACATATTTTAAATTATCACAAAGTTCATTGAAATATTTTGTTATCAAGATTTAAATTTAAGATCATTTATTGGTCTAGAAACAAATAAGATTTATTAGAGATTCTAATTTTATACTAAAAAAAGATATAATTTTTTATCAATAATAATATATTCTATATTTAAAAGTATCATAAGATCTAAAATATTTTGGATACAATTAAGACCTTGGAGTTAATATCAAGAGATTTTTAGTAGCCTAAAATATAGAAAGCAATTAAAGTCCTTATACAATCATATAATGTTTGTTTATGTTTAAAAATTATTTTTCATCAGCCTTATTTATTTTTCTAATAACTATATATACTAAAACAACTATAGTTTTTTTTTCTATAGATCTTATTATAGATCTTTCAATCTCAAGTTCTTATAACTCTATATTTTTAATTATAGATTATATCACTAAAATGGCATATTTTATACCAAATATAAAAATTATCTCAAGTAAAGTAACAAATAATTTTTTTTTGCCAATATTTATCATTGTCATGAATTACTAAGCGATATTATATTAGATAGAAGAACTCAATTTGTATCAAGGTTTTGAGAAAAAAATTCAAGCTATTAAAGGTAGACCTAAAATTATCTTTAGCTTTTTATCCTCATAATATTGAAGAAAAATAATAAATTAATTAATTTTTAAAGCAGTATTTGAGATATACCATCAACTAATATTAAGATAATTAGACAATTCTTTTTTTATTAGAAAATTTTGGTTATTATAATATAATATATTTTTTTATCTAATAAATAATTTTTTATATAATTATAATTATCATCCATAATTTAATACTTTTAACTTCACAAAAATTAATAATCCCATAGCAAAAGATTTAGAAAATTACTTATTAGAACTATATGCAATAATAAAGATACAATCAAACAAAGCTTAAGAACGACAAAAAAAGCAACACAAATATTTATTGCAAACAAAAATTTCAATTCTCCATTGGCAATAAAATATAATTACTTTGTCATAATATCAAGATTAATTATTCTTATAATAAATTGATAAGTTGTATAGACTTAGATCATTTTTTATTTGTGAATGGATCAATTCCATTGCTTATTAATTATAACTACCAAAATTTGTGAAAATCCATTTCATATTCTATATGTTTGTTTTTGAGCCATACAAGATAAAGATTATATTAGAAAAAAGACAAATATTAGCTTCTTCTATAGTTATAGTAAATAATTAAGAATTTGAAATCAAAGAAGTCTTTGCCTCAAGGCGGCGCTAAAATAAATTTGAATATCTTGTACATTGGCATAGATATAATATTAATAAATATATATGGAAGCCAAAAATCTTACAAATACAACAAAGAAAGTTGATGCTTTTTATTAACATCCATCAAAATTAAGTTAAAGAATCAAATAATTTTTTAATATAAATAAAATAAAATAAAATTTAGTAAAGATTGCATTCTATCTTTTATACTTATTTGTGGTTTCTACATATTTGTTGTGCAAAGAAGATAGAAAATCAATAACCAATAGATTCAATCTAAAAGCTATTGTTTATTGGATTATTATATAAAGCATTGAGATTATTACAAACTTCAAGACAATATAATAGAGTTGATGATCCTCAAAAAAGACATCTTCTTATCTAAATAGATAGTAAGAAATAACGTATTTGGTATTGCAACCTTAGAAGAGACTTTTTGATGTTTGATGAAATTACTAGAAGTATAAAGTATTCCTTATCATATTTCAAATACTTTATTTGAAGGAAGATAAAAAATGCCTCAACAATAATTAAATACCAAGGTAGTCTTTGTGCTATGGTATCAAATACTATTAATGGCTAAGAAGATCTTTCAACTATTTTCAAAGAAAATAAAAATCAAAGTATGTGACAAACACAATTTGTCTTAGCTTGGACTTCCTCAACATGTAATCTTTACTTTCAATAAATTCATCGCTCGAAGGGGAGTAGTATCATTGAAATATATATTTACTTAAATTAAATGAGTTAGATAGAAATAAGTACAAGTAAATAAATTCAATGATATTTTATAAAATAGCTTTATAGATGCAAATTTGATTTTTTATGTATTTGTAGGTGATTGGTAGATTGAAAATTAGGCCAAAAGTTGGCCACATGTCACACATATTGATGACTTGTGGTAGAAGTTGACCATATGGTATACATATAAAAAACTTATTTTGTAAGTTAGACACATGTCTCAAAAATTGGACATGTGTTAGAGTTGTAATGCAAAGTTTTAACTCCAAAAAATAATTGTGGTTGAAATTTTATAAAGAAAAATGAGTTTATAATGTAGAAAAAAACAAGCATTCAAATTTGGGTCATTTGTGAAGGCATGATTTTCAATACACTTTGATTTTATAAAACACCTAAAAATGTATTTAAAATATGGGTACATTTGAAAATCAAGTAAATGAAGAAGAAAATAAAATAAAACTACCAACGGCTATCAGAAAAGAGATTGCAAATTTTAAAATTAACCTCTATTGTGGAAGTGCATTTGCACTGTTGAACATGAGTGCCTTGAGAGTTTCAAGGCTTCTCAGAGTGGAATACCTGCAGCGTCTCCCTGCAATTTGCAGCTAACAGGCGAATGCAGCTTGTCACCGAAGCACCAGAGAACTCATGTTCGTGAGGAGGACGTTCTTCACAATATGGACGTCGGCATTCAACTCCAATCCTGCTGACTGCTCTGTCCTCAAACCGCTCTTATTCCTGTTTTTTGATGTCAAACTGAGATATAAGTGTCCTGGGTTCTGTCGGTCTAAAACACCAACTCCACAAATGCAGATGATGTGAATGCGTGAGGTGGTTTTGGTAGAGTTGGACTTGGTTTCCAGTGTACACACAGCATGCTCATTGATAAGTAGGTCTAGCTTTCAAAAGTGGTTTAAGACGTGTATACACACAATATTAATGTAACATTCTGAGTTTGGATAACGAATAAAGTTGTATGTTCTCTGCCAACAGCCCGCTAATATCCTGGTTCCGGACTATCGACATCGTCCACTGTACTAAGATCCGTGGAGAGAATTTTCAAGTAATGACCATCCACCTGGAGCAGCTTGGACTCTCGTGGATGACCCATCCTGCACACCAGCTATAGCATTTCATTGATACATAGATCCATCGCAAACTCAAAATCGACTTGGTGTCCAAACTTTACTTGCCAAACGATAACTGGACCAGTCCGAAATTTATATTCCGAATAAGAATTTCGGGTTGTGACTGGTTAAACGACAATGTCCGCTGCTGTGATATGATGAACTAGTGCAGTGGTTCTGTCGGGAAGTGATTAACAGATAACAAGCTGGAAGTTGTTGGTGAGCTAAACTTAGTTGAAATAGCAGTGTCCACAGCTAATGAGTTCATCTCCTTCAACCCAGCCAGCCTTTAAGCGGTGCTGCAAATTAGACAGCTTGTTTAGGACGCATGTGGTAGGACCCGGGTGTATTTACTCTCTTCAAAAGAAATCAAAATCTATGCACATCAGTTAAGAGGAAACCATGCGAGAATATGCTGCAAATGCTTACCTCTTTAATAACATACAGCAGAACATGGACAACAACACTGCAGATATTACGACCCAAATCGACAACCAAACTGATAGCGAAACACTACGACGAGGAGGAAGTTGTGTAACCATTAAACTCGGTTTCAGCGTACGAAACCTTAAATCCATAAAGGTATGTTTTCATGAGTTGTGATAGATCCTCTAAAGATTCCACGTCAACTCATTCTCTTAGTTAATCCAATTTTGGAGAGAGTGGCTGCTTCGTTGCAGCCTAAATCCCTTCTCTAACTCCATCATCATCTTCTTTATAAGGAATTAGCTCTTTTAGTCGGGTTAGCCAAGAATTTTCTGCAAGCAAGGCTTCACGATTTTCTGTTGATTGCACTGGTGACGAGCCATCTTTCCTTGAGTAAGGAAAAAGGAATAGAGATACCCTTGTCACTCGAACTGAACCACACGGAGTGTAGTTACGTTATCTGAAGCTTTCCTCTAGCCAATGGTCCACCAGTTGTAACAGTCGTCGTCACTGTTCACTTGAAATCTCGCACTCCTTGTAATTCAAGGTTCATGCTCCTCGGGGAGGACGTGGTGACCACTAATATGTATCGGCTCTGTGGTTGTCAGCCTTCCAATCTTCTAATCACAAGATCCTAAACCCCAATATTAGGTAGGCCAGCACTGAATCTTTTGTGACAATGCTAACCTGAAATGCCAGCTTGATCATTCTACATCACCGAAAACGTTACCCACTGCGCTTTATTATATTTGCAGGCACTACTTGTGGGTCTCGCATGAATCGAATAAACAGCCTTGTTCCTCATGAAACCCTGGCTTTGTATGTTGGCATAACATTTAGCCTATAGGGGTATATTACTTTCGCCAAAACAGAGTTGGAACTGTTGTGTACAATCTCCTTGACAGAACCACGACACAGTGGGTGAGACTATTACCCGTGAAAATTTGAGTACTAAGTAACCTTGAGAGATCGCCACTCAGGACATCATCGATGGACTACTTGGGTGTTTCTCGGAAACAGTCATTCAATCGCCGGGGTGAGCTGGTGGGATTCAGTTAGTCATCTTTAACGGTAGAAGGCTTCGATGTAGAAAGCCCTGATCACAACGTTCACAACATCACCTGTAGGATTTATCATGAGATAAATTGCGTAGAAAACTCATCTTGGGGTTAAAGATAGAAAAAGAGGTCTACGATTTCGAAACGTTTGTGGGTGATCAGGTAAAGAGATATAATGTAGGGAAACGATTTGGAGTGACTTAACAACTCTTATTAATGACGTTTGACATAACACCGAATTCATGGAACAATATCTGGTTTCACACATTCAACTATTTCTATTGATCTAGATGTCAACGACTTCGATGTTCTGCTGTGGAACTTGCAGTGTAGCCTCGGCATCCAGAGAGTGAGTTCCTTTCCTTACACAAACCTGCACGCCCTCCCCTCGCGAAAGCCGCCACCAACACTTAATTTCTCTCGTAAGACTCCAAGGGACTACTTTCACCGTCACTCCCCTACAGCGCTGGCATTTGTTTTCTTGCCTTTCTCCCGAATCTCTATCCCGTTCTTGCTAACATCTATGTTAGCTCCAAGTTCCTGACCATTTCTATCTGAAGAGATCGAGACGCTTACTCCTCCTTTAGCCTAAGATCCCAGAATTTGCGTCGGGCAAGTCCCCTCATAGTGTTCTTAGTATGGCAACATTTGGAGAGGCGCCCAAAGGAAATGGCAAGGCGGGGGAGAAGATCTTCAAGACCAAATGCGCCCAGTGCCACGGCATCGCCGCCTCTGAAGGCCACAAGCAAGGTATGTGAAAGAAGACTGACCTCGCACAGCAATTTCCGCATGTTTGCATCGTTCTTCGGCGCCATTCTCAAGTAACACAGCCTGTTTTCATGGTCTGTGGCGCTTCGCATCATCACGAACCATCATTTTCATACCAACCTTCAAGCAACATCATATTCTCGAGTGAAAATAACCGGGTCATCTCGATTTACCAAGACTACCCCACTCCAGATGATTTCTCATTATAGACTCGCCTACATTTAAAGAACATGGCACGGGGCGCATGTTCTTCATTGTGTTTTTATGAAGAAGCGAATCCTGTTCACAAGGCTTTGTCAACGAAATGGCGTTCGACTTGGAGTGATGATTCGGCACTTATGAAACAGACTGGGCTGCTTTGCAGATTAAAACCTTTGTATTTCCCACGCCAACCAGACAGTTAGGTAATATATTTTGCATCTTATGAACAATTTTACGAAGCAAACGTGTCTCCCTGTTGTCGGGAATTGTCCTGGAGTATGTTTCGCTTTTTTCGTAGTGCCACATGTTCATAATTCGTGATGCAAAATCGCTGCTTTTAGGAGACTTTTTTGGTACTCGCACAAGCTGAGGAGCAAAAAAATCAATTAAAACTGGAAGCTTCATTCGTGAAAATGTTGGGCCGTAAACTGGGTTGAAGATCTGAAAGGGAGGGTGGATGAGTTGGACGGTATGATAAACTTCATCTGCTGGACATTCAGGTTTAAACACTGATCCCTACAGTGCAATCAGCCAACTCATCCAACTCATCCGCCGTCAAACCGTAGCCATCTGAGCATAAACAAAGAGAGAGTTGATGGGAGTAAGGTGCTGCTGGAAAGAGCGCGCGCAAACTGCACTGATGAGATGGGAAGGACGATAGGAGATCACCCAACTGAGGCATTTAGGTTAAGACATCATTTAGGTTAAGTGATGGTTCTGACTGGAATGCAGTTCAGATAGATAATGCTCGACAATACATAATAACAATACATACAATACGAAGGGAGATAGGATATGGATTCATACGCTGTTCAATGGTGTGTCCGTTGCGGTGGTGAGTGCAGGACCCAACTTGCAAGGATTGTTCGGGAGAACGTCGGGAACTGCAGCAGGATACTCGTATTCGGCAGCAAACAAAACCAAGGCGGTGAAATGGAACGAGACTTCGCTGTACGAGTACCTGCTCAATCCGAAGAAGGTAGACAGCAGCACTCAACCCCCAACCCTGCCCTACCCCTCTATTGTTTTGGTTTTGTTGGTTTTGTTGTCTCTGCAACCCTTCATGTCTGTGTCTGTGTCTGTGTCTGTCTGTCATTGCTGTGGCTGTGAGGAGTGGATTTGCATGCATCCCATTCCAGGCCAGAGTGGCCATTGCGTCCCAGCAGTAGAGTGAGTGTAAGGCCTGTTGCATCTGAACTGCAATCGACCGTGAGCATGCTTGCATTGCAGTACATTCCTGGCACCAAGATGGTCTTTCCAGGCTTGAAAAAACCACAAGATCGTGCTGATCTCATTGCTTACCTTAAAAGTGCTTCTTGATTTTGAATAAACAAATGTTTTACTTAGTTCTTTTACACAAACAAAAAAACAAACAAACATTAAGACTTTTGCTTTTGCATTGGTCTACAAATTTGGCATGTCTCAAAACAAAACAAAAAAATAAAAAATAAAAATAAAATTAGAATGTTATAAATATTTCTCTAACTTGAATTCCAGTCCTATTCTACCTATACACAATACAATGAATATTACCATAAGCTTGTTTATCAATGTTGCCATACAAAAGATAAAACAATTAAACCCTCTTTATGATTGCATCTTACATTCTATTTAACTTCCATGCTTAATAAATATTTTTGGAATAAATTGGCACATATAATAGTATGTAGCATAATTAAGAAAAACAATTGTCATAATGCTAAAAATATATAGTTGGTTTAATAACTCAAATAGCTATTTAGATATTTAGATTGTAAAATTATAAAAATAATATATATATATATAGGGAATTGTTAAAGTGATCCAAGCATTTATTAAATCAGTCCACCTATTATCCTTGGTTGAGGATCCAACCATTTTTTAACATGTTTTTAACCAATGCAAATCTACTAGTGGAGAATTTTTTGATGATGGATAGGATGGGTGAGTTGATTTAGTAAATGCTTGGATAAATTTAACAATTCCATATAGATATATATGTATATATATATATATATATATATAGGACATGATGTAACTTCTTATTTTACCGATTTATTTTAATAAATTTTAATAATTTATATTATTTTTTGTTACCAAATCTTAAATAATTAGATGTTTTAAGTTAAATTATGTAAAAAATATATTTTTTTTAAATGGATAATTTATTATAAAAAAATCAAATTCAATAAATAAATTTTTTTTAATATAATAGCAACAAATTTATGTCTTATTTTCATATAAAACAACTTAGACACAAAGTTGAAAATTTTAGGTTTTCCAAAATTTCAAGCAGGAGAAATTTGTTTATAGAAAAAACTTTTATTATACAATAATCGATATAAATTGAATGAAATCTAAATAAAAATTAAATTTTTGCTATTGTAGATCATAATGTACATATTTAAATGAAATGCATGTTTTTTTATTGGATTTTTCAAATGCTACTTTATACATTCTTTGAGTCACTTCAATGTGATAAGATATAAATTTTTAGACCATATTTAATGATACTAAGTACTTGAATCAATTTTTAAAAGATCACATAGTGTCTAATTGTTTCTCAATAGATTTACATAATGATAGGATTTCATATGCAATTAATCAAACAAATATAAATTTTCACATAAAAAATAACTTAACATGTGAAGTTTATGTATAGTGTAATTCCCTTGTAAAGTAGGTGTTAACTTTGTATTAAAATCTTATTGGGAAGTTATACAACTTTTTACAAAACATGCACTAATATTAGTTAATCTTTCAATATGATAGTTTTTTTAAAAGATAATAAAATTTTATTTTTATGATTAATAAGCAAGATATTTATAATACTTATTATTTTATAATATTTAAGTACTAATGATTATTTAAATTTTTTTAATATATAGAATATTTCAAAAATAAATCATTTTAAAAATTAAACTAGATAATAACATGAAAGACTTGATATAATTTTTAATAAAATTTTGATAAAAACCTTAATATATTAGAAAGTTTAAATTTGCATGACATTCTTTGAAGTAAATGGATTTAAAATTACATCAAATTTATATAAGATTTGGATATCTATCTTTTAGAAAACTACACTATTTAATAAAAATATTCTAAAAATATTATCAAAAATATATTGTCAAAATTTAAAATAGTGCTATAACATCTATGGCATATCGAATATTTCTTCTTGTCAAAAGGAAGTTATTTAATGGATGATTGTACGCTGAATTTACTGATGTATACATTTATAGATTTCCAAAAAGCACATCAAATAATGGAAGGAACACAAATTGTTGGAAAGTGGTTGGCACACTACAAAAATTAAATGAAAAATAATGGAAGAGAATATTAAGTGCATCTAAGGTGTTGTGAATACTGATAAATGCCAATTATGACACATTCCTTTTTTCCCCTTTATTTATCATTTCTACCATCACAGCATCCATTAGCTGTAAGATTGCATGAAGTAATTGGTGCAGAATTGAAAACAATTCGTAACGTGTAAAGAGGTATTGCCAATATCCCCCCCACCTCCCCTTCTTCCCTTCCCTTCGCTTTTTGCTGCACATCTGCCACCACTTTCTTTGTGCAGTTACATCCTCTTCGTGCTTTTGTGGGATTTGGGCTTTTGCTCACACTGTTTTGTCATCTCAGATATTTTCACAGTTCGTATTCTCCACAGATTCACCCGTGATGTTTGCCTCTTCTTAGTTGATCAGCCGCTGCATGCATGTTTCATGGTACCCGTGTTTTTTATTTCTGGCGCAGCCGCTTCTGATCGTGGAATAATGGTTTTTCAATGTGTGCCGAATTTTAATTCCTGTTACCTAACCTAAAGGGTTTCTTTTGGATCTACTCTCGTGGTAGTGGTGTGTTCAGAAAGTGTATTGTTGTCAGGCGGCGTGTCGCTAACTTGTCAATGTTAACAGATTCAATCCATTGTGCGATAAGTGGTATTTCTTTGCTCGAACTGTTTATACGAGTGTATACTACAGGCATGATTCTAACAATTTATTTCGTTATTTTTCGCGAAACCTTTGCGGAGTTTTCTTTTTCGATTCATTCGAGAAATGAATCCTATTTTGATTCCCTTTTTTAAATTTCTTTTTTCGTTTTTTCCCCCTATGTACGTAAATGCTCATTCCCGCACCGAAACCCTAATTGGAAGAATCACCAGTCACTTAGAAAGAAGAAATTTTAATTATGTTTTTGCCTTCGGACATCTCTAAGTTGATTGGGTACTAGTGATTATACCAAACCATGAAACTTTTAAGCCAGTTGTTTGCAGCAGAAAGGAGAACAATCTCCTTCCTCCTGACACGGAAAAGCACTGAAGGAAACCCTTGCTAGACGCTCAATCCGTGAATGTATTGCACGAAGATAACTTACGACAAAGTCAAAACTCAAGTAGATTTTGCGCCTACATCTAAAACCACAATCCAAATTCAGTACTTAGAATACTGACTAGAATCTCTTTGCAACCTTTCATTAAGAGTTCAAGTTTAATTCGCTTAGAATTTACCTAAATTCTGGCAAACATTATTCTGTACAGGACAAGACCATGTTGGAGCAGTTTCTTATCTTCACTCGGGGCGGGTTGGTACTGTGGTCTTGCCTGGAGCTAGGCAAGGCCTTAAAGGGCTCCCCAGTGGATGCTCTTATCAGGACATGTTTTTTGGAAGAGGGGAGGTGACTGTTCATTTCAATACAATGCAGCTGGGGCTGGGTACACTTTGAAGTGGAGATTCTACAATGAGCTCGGTTTGGTCTTTGTGGCCATTTACCAACGAATTTTGCATCTTCTCTATGTGGACGAGCTTCTGGAAAAGGTCATGCGAGAGTTTTCCAATTTGTTTGTTTCGGCACGTACTGTTTATCATGACTTTGACGATACTTATCGGCAACTAGTGAAAGAAACTGAAGCAAATTCTCAGTCCAAGCGGGCTGGGCAGCTACGGTCTCTAGAGAATTCAAGCAAAGGTTCTCACAGGCAAGCACGACATGGACAAATACTGAAGAAAGGTGGGAAGTCAGCTAGGAAATTTTCAGAATCAAAGGACGACGGGGCAGATGAAGATGGTGAAGAAGACGGTATCAAGTCTGGATCGGAGGGTACAGATCATGGACATGTCAGTGGGAACAAAGCCAACGGACTTGTCAGTGTAAATGATAGTACAAGATAGTACTGCGAACTGGGTGTCTCACGACAATGCGTTTGATGTAAGTAAGTTAAGATTAGGAGCAGCAAGCAAAAGAAAGCCTCATCCGGCTTTGAATGCCTCAAGGTTGCTTCTAAGGAGGATGCAGGATCTAAGAAGACGATGAAGAAGAATAGAGTGTGGGGTGATGCCCCTGTTGAAACATAGAAAGCATACTCCACACAAGTAAGTTAGGACCAGCAAGGTTGCACTTTAATAAATAGAGTGTGGTATGAGATAATTCTTCCCATGCCAACCCTTTCCTTATATACTAGTACTAAGGTACTAAGTGCTACAATCCATATGGGATATCTCCTAGGACCAGCCCTCCCCTTGTACTCTAATGCACTATAGACCAGCACCTAACCTTATGGGATATCCCTAACAACACTTGTACTCTATTGACCATTAGCAACTACTTAAAGAGTTCTTTTCTCAACACTCTCACTTTGCTATTGGTCAATTAGCTATCAATCCTAATGCCTTACTCAACTTGTTGTGTCTTTCTCTAACTAAGGCTTTTGTCAACAAATCAGCCAACATGTCTTTGGTTTCACAATACATTATATCAATAACCTCCATCTCTATCTTCTCTCTTATGAAATGATGCTGAATATCAATGTACTTAGTTCTTGCATAATGCTTTGGATTCTTTGCAAAAGCCAGACATCCTTGATTGTCACACCTCAATGGAGTAGCCTCCAATTGCACAATTCCAATATCTTCCAATAACAACCTCAACTAAATTGCCTCCATTGCTTTATGACTTGCTGCCAAATACTTCGCCCCTATTGTGGACCTTGCAATATTTGGTTGTGTCTTGCAATTCGAAGATTTGGCTCCCACTCAAACAAAGAATACATAGCCTATTGTTGACCTTCAATCGTTTGCATCTCTCTTGGTTCTAAGCACCCACTTACATCCAATTGTTGTAGAAAGATGTGGTTCTTCCACCATTCACCTTATGGTCTTCTCTCACGTGTTGGATATCTTCTTTCATGCAAAGAAGATGAGCCTTCTTGCACCTCTTGTTGCCTTGTATGGCTCATGGAGTGCTTTCTCTTACTCATTGGTTGGTATTCTTCATCTTCATTCTCTTCATGGTCCTTGTTGTATCTTGCTGGAATTGAAGTCTTCATAGTATTGGGCTCTTCTATCATGGCATCTTCCTCTTCTTCTTCACTTTGAGAATGCTCTTCTTCATCTCATTGTTTGTTTGCTGGAATTGAAGATGTGTCCACAAACACACCACTACTCCCACTTGGACACATCTCCCACTTTTCACTACCACTCA